CTACTTGCAATTATAATCTAGTTGGTTTAAATTAAGTTACTGTAACAATAATTCGTTATAAATTAATATGTTATTTAATATCCTAAAAAGTCAGCTTAATGAGACTTTGGGTAGATTATAATAAAAATAATGATTTATTATTGTAATACATGAAGAGACAAAGTCTATCAATTATTAATTTTAGAATTTAAGGTTTGTTTAATCACAATTTCGTTTTGTAATTAGCTCTAAATATCAACGATATATTTATGAATTATTGTAGCTCTCTTGTTTCTTTTAATATTTTCAATTTTGAAAAACAAAAGAGTAACCTTTATACATAAATATTAATAATGTACTGCAAATATTCTAAGTAGTAATTACATTTATTATTGTATGGAAATAGGAATTAGATTGCTAATAAACTGCTTAATTATGTAAAATAGCCTGTGTAATCAGCAAATGTTTCTTTAATTGAAAAATCTTTCGATAAACCATAATTGTTTATTTGATCTACAAGTAACTGTTTTATTGTTTCAAGCTATATTATAGCTCTTTCAACATCTGCTAAAGCATGATTGTTGTTAGATGAAGGTTAGAATTTAAGTTTCATTGCTTTGCTATGCTAATAAAAGCAAGATGAAAGGTAGAATAACTGTTACTTTATTTTAATTACATCTGCATGTATTTATCTTTATTGATTCCTAAATAGAAATAAGAATATACAAATGCTTATCAAGAGAATACAAACATAATTCATAAGGACTGCAATTAAAAAAAGTTGATCTGATATTTCCAGGGCCTACTAAAAGCAGGGAAGAGAGGGAGGTTCTGTGAGTTTTTGATCCAATTTTTTGTGGATTAGCACTTTATATAAACAATGGAGCCTTGATTTAGAATTAAGGGGTTTGACTCATTTGAGGTATTGGAGGAATTTTAGCTATTTGAGGGATAGGAAGATCTAAAGAGGTTGGTTAATCATTTAATAAGGGATGAGAAAATAATCCATTCCAACTGATTCTTTTATTTTCATTATACTTTAACATATTTTCTATCAAATTTGCAATTTCTTCAGTCATCTATAGAATAAAATTGTATTTACTCCAGCTGCGGATCGATTAACTTTTATTGGGTTTGATTCTAATTATCTCAACTTCATTATCAATTACTGTAAATTGTTTACTTAGTATGGCAGGCCTCCAAATATAAGTCCATAGCAAACTATTCCAAGCTTGTAATATTTTTTCAATTTACAGAGTAGATGTCTGCAGAATTTGTAAAATTGGAATCTTCTTCAAATATTTGAGGTGAAGCATACTTTGGAGTACCAGATTTAGTGAGCTCATCGTTTGTTTGATAAAGTCTGGCTAATCCAAAATCAGCAATCTCGTTTAATAACTATTAATACTTTATATACACCATCCAAATATAGAATATTTTAAGGTTTAATATCTCTGTGGAAACATTATTATCATATAGTAGTTTATAGCCTTTGATAATTCATTTTAATATATTAATAGCTTCCTCAGGAATGTAATATAATTGAATATTTAATTTATTTTTGAAATTAAATGATTGTTTTCTAATCAAATAGTTCCTTGAAACAATAATCAATATAAGTTTGTTTCTATTGTATTTATCATTTAACCTTCTTTCCTTGAACTTCATTTGCAAATCGCATTCACATATTTCCAAAATTAATATAATTCTTGATTTATACACATCTACATGATAGACTCCTACAGTGTGTTTATTATTCCTTCCCTGTTCCATAATCATCTACATAAGTTCCATTTCTCTACCAGTTTTCGGGTCTTATATTTTATCTTCAATAATCTCTAATCTATAAATTAATGACCTTTGCGCATAATTTTAAATTTGGGTTGCATGTATCTTTGCATACATAAACCCTCCCATATTAACCTTCGCCTATGAGTTTATTCTTATAGATTTCATATTAGGAGACAACTAAGATGTTTGTCGTAAGTCTGATAGAATAATAAATTAAAATTGTTTCCCCTTCTATTTTATTTTCAATTGACTAATACATCTAAATAATTTTCATCTAATAACTACCAAGTTCTCTTGGTTTTAGTCTAATAAAAAACCCAATAACATGGGATAAAGAGATTTTAAGATGTCAAACCACAAATTTGTATGGTCTCAATTGGATTATTAATAATAAAATCTATTAATCGAGGAAATAAAAAAACTCTGCTAATTCGGAAAATTTTAATCATAAAAATATAATTCTTTTAACTCAAAAATATTGTTGACTCTTAATGATGAAGGGATAGATATAATGAGTATANCATCTGCTAAAGCATAATTGTTGTTAGATGAAGGTTAGGATTTAAGTTTCATTGCTTTGCTATGCTAATAAAAGCAAGATGAAAGGTAGAATAACTGTTACTTTATTTTGATCACATCTGCATGTATTTATCTTTATTGATTCCTAAATAGAAATAAGAATATACAAATGCTTATCCAGAGAATCCAAAACATAATTCATAAAGACTGCAATTTAAAAAAGTTGATCTGATATATCCAGGGTTTACTAAAATCCGGGAAGAGAGGGAGGTTATGTGAGTTTTTGATCCTATTTTTATGGATTAGCACTTTATATAAACAATGGAGCCTTGATTTAGAATTAAGGGGTTTGACTCATTTGAGGCATTGTAGGAATTTTAGCTATTTGAGGGACAGGAAGAACTAAAGAGGTTGGTTAGTCCTTTAATAAAGGATGAGAAAATAATCCATTCCAACTGATTCTTTTATTTTCATTATACTTTAACATATTTTCTATCAAATTTGCAATTTCTTCAGTCATCTATAGAATAAAATTGTATTTACTCCAGCTGCAGATCGATTAACTTTTATTGGGTTTGATTCTAATTATTTCAACTTCGTTATCAATTACTGTAAATTGTTTACTTAGTATGGCAGGCCTCCAAATATAAGTTCATAGCAAACTATTCCAAGCTTGTAATATTTTTTCAATTTACAGAGTAGATGTCTGCAGAATTTGTAAAATTGGAACCTTCTTCAAATAATTGAGGTGAAGCATATTTCGGAGTACCAGATTTAGTGAGCTCATCATTTGTTTGATAAACTCTGGCTAATCCAAAATCAGCAATCTCGTTTAATAACTATTAATACTTTATATACACCATCCAAATATAGAATATTTTAAGGCTTAATATCTCTGTGGATAACATTATTATCATATAGTAGTTTATAGCCTTTGATAATTTATTTTAATATATTAATAGCTTCTTCAGGAGTGTAATATTTATCATTTTACCTTCTTTCCTTGAACTACATTTGCAAATCACATTCACATCTTTCTAAAATTAATACAATTCTTGATTTATTCACATCTACATGATAGACTCCTACAATGTGTTTATTATTCTTTCCCTGTTCCATAATCATCTACATAAGTTCCATTTCTCTACCAGTCTTCGGGTCTTATATTTTATCTTCAATAATCTCTAATTTAAATATTAATTACCTTTGCGCATAATTGTAAATTTGGGTTGCATGTATCTTTGCATGCATAAACCTTCCCATATTAACCTTCGCCTATGAGTTTATTCTTATAGATTTCATATTAGGAGACAACTAAGATGTTTGTCATAAGTCTGATAGAATAATAAATTAAAATTATTTCCCCTTCTATATTATTTTTCAATGGACTAATCAAATTCTATTATTCATCATTTCAAAAATATTAAATACATCTTAATAATTTTCATCGAATAACTAACAAGTTCTCTTGGTTTCAGTCTAATAAAAAACCCAATTAAATAAGAAAAAGAGATAATATAAAATAATGTCAAACCACAAATTTGTATGGTCTCAATTGGATTATTAATAATAAAATCTATTAATCGAGGAAATAAAAAAACTCTGCTAATTCGGAAAATTTTAATCATAAAAATATAATTCTTTTAACTCAAAAATATTGTTGACTCTTAATGATGAAGGGATAGATATAATGAGTATATAAGTAAATACAAAGAAATTAGAAGACATCAACACTTGAATGGTTTAAAAAATAGCAACCGTATTTTTTATATTTTGCAGTTAACTTTTCCTATTATGTGTAATCATAATACCATTCTCTTTAATACATGAGTTAACATGATATTTCAATTTAATGATATGATCTTTTGTTAAAATTAACAGAGCCTCCCAAATTAATATCATTCATTTTAATAATAATTATATGAAAGAAGTTAAAGTAAAGTGTGAAAATAGTATAAATATTTATAGATTTATAGATTAAAACTATTATTTCAAATTATTGATATTTTATATTATTATATTTGTTAATGATGGTTTATTAAATTCAATAAAAGAAATGGTAATAATAAATCATTAATAATTTTAATTAGTATAATCAAATTTTGTAAAATCTTTGAACATTTCTTCTAATCTACTATGCATTACAAAAAAGTGCTTGAAATGGAACACAGGATTGAGTTCTATATTTTTTATACGTCTGGCTATTTTCTATAAATGATCATACTTCCAAAATTTATTAGTGGTTCTAACAGCATATGATATTGCCTGCAAAGATTATTGCAGCTTTGTATTTATCAGATTGCATTTTTATTCTAAAATAAGATAAATACATATTCTATTAAGTAAATACATATATGATAAAATTAGGCGTCATTAAACACAAGATAAAGAGAAACTAGGTAATAAAAGCAGCTACACTTTAGAATCTATATATTTGATTTGATTATCTTATAAAAAATCTCATGATAAGAATGGTTAAGAGTTGAGAAAACTGAATAAATAAATGAAAAGAATTTTGGTATTAAGCATTGATGTTTCAAAGATTGTTAAGGCTAATAATAAATTTAATTAGGAGAGCAACTCTAAAATTCGATAACTAAGTAAATCCTTTTTCTCTATGAACAAATAGCGAAATATTTAAGAAGTTGCTAATATTATAATTTGAAATACCTTGTATTTTTCTTCAAAAACTTTAAATTGATTTAATACAGCAAACTATTTTTGTGGAGAATACTTTGGGATTTAAATTACTTTAAGCAGTCTCAGTCCTCCATTACTCTTCTTTGTAATCTTAATAGTTAAAAAATGTATAAATTGCCATAAATATAAATGATTAAGAATTCGTACAAAATTATATAGCTATGAAAGTATTAGTTTTATTAATAAAGTTTTTATTTTACTGTAAAAAATACAGTTTTATGCTCAATTTTCAACTATTCTTACTTGTAAATGATAGTAAATTCATGAAGAGTCCTTTCCTATTGGATGAACTTGTTTTAAGAATCGTTGCCACAGTTTGTTTCACCAACACAACGAATTAATGAGAACCAAAATTTGACCACAATATTTGCACTTTTTTTTTATATACTTGAGCGAATTGGTTTCCTTAGTAAACTTTGAAAGTTCAGAATATCTACAATATCTTTATATATTTAAAACAATCATTCTTAAGTTCAAAATGAGTTTGAAAAGCCTAAGTTAGTCATTTTCAATCAAAAAATCTATTCTTTTTAATACATTCTCTCAAATTCTTTCATCGTTACCTATAACAGAAATTTTGCAAATTAAACTATGCATAACAGCAATCTATTAATAATTTCTTTGAAATATTGTCCCATTAAAAGTTTTTGAACACATAAAAACTTTCTGTAATAACCTTAAAAATAAAATTCCTACCTCCAAATTTCATCAAACTCATACGTATCATAATATACCATATCAAAATTTTCGAAGATTTCAGTATTTGTTAATTCACACTTTCTCCCCTCAATTTATCAATAATTTGATCAATTTATTGGCAAAGGCTCTCGGAAGTGTTATTACCAAAAAACATCACTGAGTTGATTTAATACTCTACATTTTTCGATTTTAAATTTTTTATAATTTCTGTTTCATATCTTTATCACAATAACCCCAATATGTAACAATTACTGTGATCATGTGTCTATAATTCATAAATAGTGCTATAATACCGATAACAGCTTCTATAATTGCGGTTGTTTTAGCAAATCTAATAAGAATTGCAAATCTTTTAATGGGCCCTTCTGATAGAACGCAAAGAACACCCAGAAATATAATCTAATTTGTTTTATCTTGGCTCTAAACCAAGGAGTATCTATTACTTAAATTCATAACTAGACTTGTTCTTACAAACACCCAAAAGTTGCTTGATTTCCACCTCCACTTGTTTTTTCTTATGATGATGTAATTTTATTATAGAGTGATATTTTGTCTGCACCTACAGATTCTAATAATCCAATTGATATCTTTAATTAAAAGCACTCTAAGTCTGTTCTAAGTTGATAAAGTTTAGTTTATTCTAATATTTATCACCCTCATAGAATTGAATGAGCTTAATAGATTAATTAATTATATAATTAAATTATAAAAAAAATGACATACATCATAATATGATATTTAAAAAGGTTAACATTACTTATGGGGTTGAAAATTTTAATGCAATATCTAAATTTGAATAAGAATCTTTATTAGATTAAACCTTTATTCAACCGAAATTCAAAGATTTGGTATGGGAAGTTTGCAATTGTTAATTTAATAAGACATTATATCAACTTTAAGTATGATTTAGAGATGAAATAGTTTTTGTAACCCAAGTCCTTCATGGCATCCATTAGATTACTCTTAATTTTTGAAAGTTGAGTAGTTTATTATTCATTGACTTTTATAATACAAAACCTATTTAAATAAAATTTCTTGTAAATTTAATGTATAATTAATTAAAATAAAACTAAATCTCCAGAATTATTAAACCCATATATTCCATTTGATTCATTCATAGTTGTCTTGGATTAAAATTTGTTCAGGATGCAGTTATTTAACTTCAAACTATGAATTAGTTTGTTAAAGTTTACTGATGAATAATTTGTGGAGTTTTGTTTTAATTTTTAATCATACCTAAGAATGAAAAGCCCTTTTAATTATTTGGTGTTGAAATATTTCAATTATATAACAGTGATGCTACCTAAATTAATATTCAAAACTATACTGTTTTAAAATAATGATATCTGTCATCAAATTGATTTTCGAAACTTAAGTATTCATTATGTGGTAATTTACAATTATACTATAATAATATGTTATCCAATTATTTCAAATTAGATGTATAGAATATTGTTAAAAATTTTAATTCATTATATGTTTTCTAAAATATTCATTTAGCAAATTCTAATATTAGAAACAATATATACATTATTATAATTAAAAAAGAACTATTAATTATCTCTCAATATCGTGAATCCGTTTGAAAAAATGATCTCTTAATCAACTTGACTCCTAAGACCCATAAAACTTAATATTGAAACTTTTTATATAAATTCCGATCAAGTAGAATTAATCTAAAAATCTTATGGGATTAACTTAAACCTAAGTAAGTTTAAAAGTAAAGTTATAAATTATTATAATTTTCTAATCTCCTCAAAATCTAACCCTGCATATAAGGTCAAATAATTGAGAGGCAATAATGATGAATTTCCAGTATATAAGGGTAGATAACAAAAGCAGAAGCATAAAACTTTGATAGGATTGCTAGAAATTGTATAAAAAGTATCTGGGAAATGGATATCAAGTCAATCATATACAAAGCTGTTTTTACATGTCTCAAATATGAGTAATAAATTCTTATAAAATCAAAATAATTGTTGGTTTTGCATTTATATTTATTATTCTTAATCTTTACCATTTTTGACTTCTGTTGTAAAATTTTAAAGTCTTCTTACATATTATAAAGCTTAAATCTATAATTCAAATCATGTTCAAAATTTTGTATTTAATGAACTACATTTGAAGAAAGAGAATTTACAAAAAAATATATTAAATATTAAAGTAATCAATCATTAATCTCAAGAAATATATAAACTTATATTCAAAGTTACATTTAGAAACAACCTAAACTTTAATAGCCTTAATTGCTAGAAATAAATTATGGTCATTTTATGATATAAATAATACTTAAATTGATGGTTAATTTTTTTTATTGGGCTAACATTTAAAGATAATGATATTTTAGGCTTTATAATAATATCCGATTGCTTTTAAATCATACATCAATCTAAAGAAATTTAATGATTCCTATATTTTAAAAATTTTGAGTTTTACCTTTGAATTAAACATATAAATTTAATGTTATTTTGGTATGGTTCATGACCCCGTTTATTTACTATTCAAAAACATTAATAAATTATTTGAAATGAAAATCGTCAAAATTTTACTACTTTTTTGTCTAGTCTTTTCAGTGTTCACATAAATTACTTAAGAAGCTCCAAAGGCAAGCATTAGTAAGATTTTATAATCCATTTTTATTAGCTAGTTCTGCCAACTCTGATTCAACATAAGGTCCCCCTACTGGTCAATAAGTTTAATAAAATACAACAGGTATCTAATTAAGTTTATGGTTTTTAGGTGGTTAACCACCAGGAAATACATAATNATATGTTATCCAATTATTTCAAATTAGATGTATAGAATATTGTTAAAAATTTTAATTCATTATATGTTTTCTAAAATATTCATTTAGCAAATTCTAATATTAGAAACAATATATACATTATTATAATTAAAAAAGAACTATTAATTATCTCTCAATATCGTGAATCCGTTTGAAAAAATGATCTCTTAATCAACTTGACTCCTAAGACCCATAAAACTTAATATTGAAACTTTTTATATAAATTCCGATCAAGTAGAATTAATCTAAAAATCTTATGGGATTAACTTAAACCTAAGTAAGTTTAAAAGTAAAGTTATAAATTATTATAATTTTCTAATCTCCTCAAAATCTAACCCTGCATATAAGGTCAAATAATTGAGAGGCAATAATGATGAATTTCCAGTATATAAGGGTAGATAACAAAAGCAGAAGCATAAAACTTTGATAGGATTGCTAGAAATTGTATAAAAAGTATCTGGGAAATGGATATCAAGTCAATCATATACAAAGCTGTTTTTACATGTCTCAAATATGAGTAATAAATTCTTATAAAATCAAAATAATTGTTGGTTTTGCATTTATATTTATTATTCTTAATCTTTACCATTTTTGACTTCTGTTGTAAAATTTTAAAGTCTTCTTACATATTATAAAGCTTAAATCTATAATTCAAATCATGTTCAAAATTTTGTATTTAATGAACTACATTTGAAGGAATAGAATTTACAAAAAAATATATAAAATATTAAAGTAATCAATCATTAATCTCAAGAAATATAGAAACTTATATTCAAAGTTACACTTAGAAACAACCTTAACTTTAATAGGCTTAATTGTTTGAAATAAATTATGGTCATTTTATGATCTAAATAATGCTTAAAATTGATGGTAGATTTTGTTATTGAGGTGAAGTAAATGTTTATAGTATGCATTACTAACATTTAAAGACAATTATATTTTAGGCTTTATAATAATATCCGATTGCTTTTAAATCAAACTTCAATCTAAAGAAATTTATTGAATCTTATTTTTTTTAAATTTTGAGTTTTATCATTGAATTTAGTATTTAAATTTAATGTTATTTCGGTATGGTTCATGACCCCGTTTATTTACTATTAAAAAACATTTATAATTTACTTGAATTGAAAATCGTCAAAATTTTACTACTTTTTTGTCTAGTCTCTTCAGTGTTCACATAAATTACTTAATGGTGAGAATTTTAGAGTTTATAATTAGAAGATAAGCTAATAATGTTTATCATAAAAATTTCTAGACTTTAATTGATCTAAACGGGTGAAAATGCTCACAGCATACCTTAAGGAGGTAATTCTTTAAAATTATTCATGTTCCTCTTTGTTTGAACTAACTCACAATTTAGAAATCTTCAAGCATATGTCTCAACTAAGTTTGAACCCTATTATTCATAGTGTGGGCCATGCTGACATATAATCTAAAATAATAATGGAGTTCCAACATCTCCAAGTGAGCTTTTATTATAATCAAGTAAAAATCATAAATTCCTGATGAAGTCATACTTTCTGGTGGACAGGAATGCCTTTCTGCCCACAAGAAAGTTGTGTGAATAAAGGACTCACTAGTAGATGGGCTAGAGTACTCAAGATTCGATAAAGGGATGGAGAGTGGAATTTAAAGATGGAGGCACTAACAACCCTTCTGAATCAAGCCACTTAGAGGATGATGTTGAATGTATATTCAAGTTTATTAAATGCATGATAATTAAAAGTTATAATTCTTTACATTAACTTGTTCCATCATAAATATATTTGGATAATTCTCGGAATACTATATTTTGCTATTGCTTTAACAATATTACAATAATTTTTGTTTTTTCAATTTCTAATCTGCTAAAACTTATTTTCAACGTTTAAAGATTAATCTTTACGAAATTACAATGGGTTTTTTATATAAAAGCAAAAAACAGAGTGTAAAAATATGTAGTATATAAAATAAAATCTATTGGATTGAAGAAAATAAATAATTATTAAAGGTATCAGTTAATTCAAAATAATAGAAGCTTTATAGAAAAGTTAATATATTGGGTTGATAATTTAATACTATTTAAGATTTATACCTAAATTAACATTCTTAATTAGTATAAATTTGTGGAATTTTTTTTGATTAAGTTGTAATTAATTCAATATATCAAAGCTAAATGGAGATATAAAATATAAACTCGGTATCTATAAGGTATACTCTAGATTCTGAATAAGAAGTCTAAACCTAACTTATAAAAAAACGAAAAAGCTTGTTACATATAATGAATAAAATTTTGGAAATTGCTTTTAATAGTTTCCATTTTCTTAATAAAAAGTAGAAATTAAAGTTACTATTCATAATTATATATATAATCCAACTTTAATATTCAATTTTAATCTCTATGTTATGAAAATTTTAAATTTTCTTCCAAAATTAAACCTCCTCTTTATCTAAATAATTTCTTTAAGTCTATGCTTAAATGATTTCGCAATTCTCCTTTAAATATTTTAGCTCCTTATGCTTAAAATAAAGGTTATTGGATATTAGAAGAATAGTAATAATTTGGTTAACTAAATATTTAAAATCAATACTACCTTCTACACTTTATGGAGGATTTTGAAGGGAAGCATAAAATTTATCTTTTGTATCGCTATTACTATTATTCAAGGGGTAAATTTATTGTCCAGTCTAAATATCCCATAAACGAATAGAATTATCCATACTACCTGATGCCAATATAGTACCTAGAGGAGAAAAGCAGACTGAAGTAACATTTCCATAATGGCCAACTAGTTTAAATTTTTGTATTCCCGTCTTAACATTCCACAAAAAAATACAGTTGTTTGCAAAGCCAGATGCTAAAATAGCACCATCAGGAGAGAAGCACACCACCTTCATGATTAGTTAATGTAAATTTTAGTTGTCCTGTTTTAATATCCCATAAACGGATAGACTCATCTCCACCACCTGATGCTAAAAGTGTACCATCAGGTGAGAAGCATACAGAATATACACCTTCAAAATGCCCATCTAATTAATATGTGAGTTACCCATTCTTGCATAGACATGTCTTTACTCCCAGATACTAATGTAGTATCATCAGGAGAAAAGCATACGGATACGACTTTTCCATTCTGATCAATTAAGAGAGTTTTATTTTGTCCTGTCTTAACATTTCATAAACGGATTGACCAATCATCAAACTAGATGTTAATGTTGATCCATCAGGAGAGAAGCATATAGATAGGACTCCACCACTATGGCCAATTAGTTTAGATTTTTTTTTCTTGCTTTAACATCCCATAACCTAATACACTTATCTGCACTCCCAGATGCTAATGTGCTGCCATCAGAAGAGATATTTATCGAATAAATCTATCTACTGTGGCCTATTAATTTGGATTTCGGTTGCCCTGTCTTAAAATCCCATAAACTGATAGACCCATCATCATTGCCCGAAACTAATGTAGTACAATCAGGGGAGAAACATACTGAAGAGATTGCTCCACCATTTCCATTTAAGTAATGTAACTCTTGTATTCTAATATTTTTCCATTTACAACTCAATAATTAAGTTCCACTCAAGTTTATTCCACTTATATCTACATTCTCTAATTCAGAACCACTCAAATTACATTTAACAAAATTAGCTCCTATTAAAGATGTATTATGAATTTTGATATTTAAAAACATTGTTTCGTTAAATCGACCTTCATTTCGACTAATAAATTAAGAGAATTTGATCCAAATTGTACGAACTTATTATCCATAGATGATAGGTAAATAAGAAATGAAAATAATCGATTATCCTATTTTCTATTGAAACTATATTTATGATTTTTTTTCTAGTTTCTGAATATGTTTCAGTTTAATAATTCTTTTTATTAAAATCATGTTAGTGGAATTATTTGAGAAACATTAGTAACTTTCTTAATGTTATTTTAAACAGCACTTAACTTATTTTGCTTTTAGAAAAGTTATAAATTATTTTCAACTTATAAGAAGTATTACTCTTTATGATTTTGATCTTCAGCTTTAGAAAGAAATTCTATACTATCTGAAATTTTTTCTTTTTAAAATACGTCAATTATCATACTGAGTATTTCCATATCAATATCTTTTAACGAAGTAAAAAGCTCATACAAATTATCTTTTTCTTGAATTGGTTGAATCCTTGATTATATTTATTCTTACTTAATTAATGGCGAAATCTTTTTGATTTTTTCCATTGACTGTTTTTTAAAAGCCCTAATTTCTTATTCCCACCAATTCTTTGCCCGTTCTAACTTTGGAAGATAAGAATTTTCCTAAGAAATCCAATCATTTATTGATTTTGCTTTAACAATTTGCACTAATGTCTCTAAGTCAGTAAATGTTGCTTCTTCCAAATTAATATTATTGTAAATGATATTTAAGGATGATGCCCTTTCCATTTCAATTACATCTTATATCTATTGGATTGATTCTGATAATTCTTCCCAAATTTTCTTCAGCATACTTTGAATTTGAGAGAGTGCAGAATTTATTTTCATCTTATGTTTGATTAAATCTGAAATAGCTTTATGATTTTACTCTTTTATTATTATCTTGAAAATCATTTCTTAAAATTTTAAATAGTCACAGTATATTCAACATCTACTCCATGATCATCTAAGCTTTGCACACACAGCTTCCTTAAAAATAAACACTTATGTGGAGCTTTACAAATATATGAAATTGGAATATTTAAATGATAGGGGCAATTCATTTTCTTTATCAACGATATTTTATTTCAATAATTTTTTATTATTAAACAGATCCGGCAAAGTATCTATAATATTTTCGCAGAAAGGAAGACAATTAATTGGCTCATGATAAATTTGATGATAATTTCCTTAAGTTGATTCGTTTAAATAGATCTTATATTTCCACTCTTTTATGTTGTTTAGCTAACTATTCTTATATTAACTAGTATGCAAGGAAATAATAAAATTATTTCTCTAAATTGATTGAATGTATTGTATTTTCATAACTATTTCTTATTATATAATATAGAGGTTAATTTTCACGTTACAAATATTGCCATTTTTCTCTCACGCCTACTTTCATCTTATAAATCACTAGTACACTTAATAACTAAGTTTTATTATTACAAATAGTTGATATTCAATTTTGAAGCTAGAATTTGATTTCAGTTTAGATATAAGAAAGAAATGATTCGCTGATTAGTAG